ATAAAAATAATTTTCAGTTTGGCGCCCCTTCCGTGCTGGCGCCCTGGGCAGTCGCCCAGGTCGCCCATAGCTTTCGCCGGCCCTGAGCATACCTAGTGAATTAACCTATAATCAAACTTAATTTTTTACAATATCTTACATGCTCACAATTTTTCATAAAAATTAAAATATTTAAAAAAAACCAACGTACATGATGTTAATACCCAAACCCTATAATTATGAATGCCTTTAATTTGATAATAGGTTTTAAATCTAATATCAAAGCTGACAACACAAAAGTTTCTTGAATTAATTCATGATGTCAATTGTATGATAGATGAAAATACATATTAATATAGGTTAATATATTTGGTATATTATAATATATTAATATTCCCAATTTAGGTTAGGTTAGGTTATTTGATAGGTTTTTTTTTTATAGCACTAATAACCAATAATTTTTAAAAATTAAATAAACCAAAATAAAAAATGTTATGTTCTCAAACTGATGACTTATTGTATTTATGTTACCGAAAAAATAAATACGCTACGACACAGATAAAGTTCTTCCCTGTACGTTGTATAATTTTGGTAATTTTACAATTAATAGGTACATAGAAAGTATAGTGCATTTGTAAGATGAAGACAACACATGCGGGTATCATGTCCTTTTAAACACCTTTTGATAGGTAATATGTTGAATGTTGATGTGCATTCGAAAATCTTTATAATGATTTTTTGGTTATAAAAGTTGTAGGATTTATAATTTTAAAAATGTAATATTATATCTTTTTTATAAATTTAATGTTTGATAAAATTGATTTATGATTAGGTACATTAATTTATGATTTATTATTTTATTTATTAATTATAATACACAACTTATTAAAAAAAAAAAAATGGACATTATTGCATAATTTAAGAAATATGTAGGCAAGTAGGTACCTAACTAACTATAGTTATAACTATATAGTTATGTACAAATCTAGGTGTAATGTTACCTCATATATAACTATTATTTTTAAAAATTTTTATTTTCAGTAAAATGATTAAAAGTAATAGGACTAGAAACAGGAAAATTAAAAAAGAACAAGATTTAGTGAATAATTTATTTACATTGGACCATGGTACAAAGTCTGATACATTTATCGATTCTTGTAATATAAGACTACAAGATAATAGTAATATCCCTATATTAACATTAGATAATTTAACTCCTAGACTTGATCCAAATCTGGCATCAAGTGTTCATCAACCACATTCAAATTCTATATTGTCTAACACATCATCAGTTGATAATTGGTCTGAAAAGCAATCTACTGATAATAATAGTTCTTTAGTACTTGATACAACAACATTACCAAATTTTGATGATGGCCTTGCACATTGGGCTGTTAACCATAACGTTCCAATGATTACAGTGAATTCATTATTATCATTATTAAGAACCCACAAATGTTTTTCATCATTACCTAAAGATAGTAGAACACTTTTACACACATCTTCTAAATTTGATTATACTCCACGAGTTGTAGAACCTGGCTTGTATTACCATTTTGGAATTGCTAAAGGCATCTTCCAAAATTATGTGGCAAATGAAAATGATTTTTCATTAAAAATTGCTGTAGGTATTGACGGACTCCCTCTTTCAAAATCAAGTGGAAGTCAATTTTGGCCTATTTTAGCGTACATTATAACTAAAAATAAAAAATCTCAAGTTTTCCAGTCGGAATGTATAATGGGTATACTAAACCTAATGATAGTGATGATTATTTATTAGATTTTGTTAATGAGGCAGTAGAGTTATCATTAAATGGGATAGTAATACAAAATAAAAAAATTAATGTTATATTTAATGTCTTCTGTTGTGATGCACCAACCAAGAGTTTTATCCTTAAAACTAAAGGACATTCTGGATTTTCATCATGTTCACGATGTAAAATTGAAGGTGAATACATTAATAATCGTGTTTGTTTCCCATATAATAGAAATAAATCTGCTTTAAGAACTGATACAGAGTATAGCAATTGTACTGATGAAGATTTCCATACATCAACATCTCCTTCAATTCTAACCAGAATACCCAATTTTGATATTTCTAAATCGTTTGTGCTAGATTATATGCACTTAGTAACATTGGGTGTGATGCGTAAACTTATTTCTTTTTGGGTTATTAGAGGTCTAGCCAATGTTCGCCTACCAGGATGGAAAATTAATGAAATAACTAAATTACTATTAGAAATAAAGCCTTATACACCTTTGGAATTTTCTAGAAAACCTCGAGAAGTACAAGATATTTGTCGCTGGAAAGCAACCGAATTGCGTTTGTTTTTAATCTATCTTGGTCCTTTTATACTTGATGGTATTTTATCAACTGATTGCCTAGTTAACTTTATGGCATTAAATGTGGCAATGGTAATTTTACTAAGCCCGGATAAAGATCATTATTCAGAGTATGCTCAACAATTATTGGATTATTTTGTAATGACATTTGATAAAATATATGGAAACTTCAATGTTTCACATAACATTCATGGGCTTCTCCATATCACATCTGATTATAAGCGTTATGGTCCACTTGATCAATGTAGTTGTTTTCCATTTGAAAACCATATAAAGCAAATTAAAGTAGCTCTTAGAAAAAGTGAAAAACCTCTTCAACAATTTATTTGTCGGTACAATGAAAAGTGTCATGTTCGCAACCAAAACTTCAATCAAATTAACAAAAAATTTACTTTAAAAAAATTGCACAATAATGGTCCATTACTTGAACATTTTAACATTTGAACATTTTTCACAATATCATCAGATCATTTTTGAAAATTTTTCTCTTAAAACTAACAATGAAAAAGACTGCTATATTTTAACTAATTGTGGTCAGATAGTAAAATGTGCAAACATTATAAGTGAACAAATTGATAGTGTTCCAGTTATAGTGAGTCAATGCTTTCTAAACAAGTTCCCAGCATACACTAAACCTATTTGCTCTTCTATTTTAAATATATACAAAGTTGATAACCTAATGGGTGAGCTTAAGGTCTGGAATATTATTGACATAAAATATAAAATGATGGTGATACGATTGAATAACTGCACTTATGCTATACCAATACTACATACAAATATAATTTAGAAATTGTTTTAATAAAAGTAAATGTAAATATATAATCCATTGTATCATAAATGTAATATAATATAATAAAGGCAGTTAAAAAATAGTAAATAAAATTATGATAGTACAAATTTCAACAAAAATTATTGTTATTTATACTGTAGTTATTATCATCAGGTAACTTAGTGTTGTTGAAATTTATATATGTTATAGCTTTATAAACATTATGTGGTTTGTCGTCAACTTCAAAAAAGACAACACAGTTGACGTTGTACCAAGTAGTTGGTACAAAAATGGGCTGTGTGCTTGGCCAATAAAATGTTCCAATACCAAAAAAATTGTTCAAAAAAAATTTCCACCAAACAAAAAAGACTTCAAATGGCATATTGCTAGAAAGCTGGGATCCTGTTATGGTGATAATATAATAATAATATTCTAGTATAAATGTAAACTACAATATTTATGTTTTAGTATTGATTTTATATAGTTGAAACTTTTACTAACATGCAATATATACCTATAGGTAGTATAATTTACATTAATTTTGTTTAGATACATATGAAGAAGCGAAATACAAGGCTAAAATTGCTCAAGAATCTTCTGATCTATCAGGAACTGAATATATATTAAAAGACCGTAAAGTAAGAGCCAAAATGATTGATAATTCACCATCACCATCACCAAAAAAAAAAGCTATTAAAAGTCCACCTGATATATTTTGTAAGTACAATCTACCTATACCTACATATACTTATTTAAATATTATTAATATACAGCTAGTGTTAAACAATTTTGGCAACTAAGACATATTATGACTGATATACAATAATATTTTTGTATCATATATATGATAAAATATATGGTCATATATTTAATCACCTCGTTCATTATATCATACATTATATTGTTTATCAATCCTAATTAGTTGCCGAACTTTTTTAAACACCCTAGCTGTGGCCTGTATATAATAAGTTATAAATAATGAACAAAAATAGTCTTATAACAACTTATATTTTTCAGTGAACAAAGATTTAGTTAGTGAATGTGAATCAAATGATGACTCAGATTTAGATCCAGATTATGCCTTACACATAGCAGGTATCATATTATCAAAAAAATAGAAGTTCCATTATTTAACCAAATTAAAATTGATTTAACATTATCTTAGACTTTAGTAGTAAATATAATATAACTCTCAGAATCCCTGCAATGAATTTACTAAAATAATATTTATTAAAATTATTGCAGTCAGCCAGATGTGTCCTATAAATAGCATATGTAATAATAAGTCTCACATTTATAAAGTATGAACAATAATAAACATTGATTTTAGATACAAGTCAAATATTTTTAAATTATGATAATGCCGATGATAACTCTCCAAATGAAAAATCTTTGACCACAACAAAAACAATATCAGATTCTAAACTATTGAAACCACAAAAAAAGTTCCTAAGCTATACCCAACCTACTAAAGGTTCAAAATCCAACCGTAATTTTTTAAATTATTAATAATAAATTATAGAGTCCAAGAATTAATGATTTCATTATAATTTTTTTTTAGATTTATTTGATGCCTCATCATAAATAGAAATAAGATCACCTCAATTGCAGTGCACTTTTCCAATAAAAAGAAAACTTTTTGATGATGAACAAGAATCTTTCAAATCAAATGGTAAAAATAACTATGTATATATATATATATATATATATATATATATATTTTTATTGATATTTTTAAGACCGACAACTGAGGCCATTAGCTGAGAGGTAGGTTTTTGTGTGGTTGGTGGTACTGTAAGGTAGGGAACAGATTTGATTTCATGAAAATAAGGGAATAAAATAAAGTAATTAAGAAATTTTCATATTTCAATTTTTGAAGTTCAAATCAAAAATGGAAAAGTTAATCTCAAAAGTAGATTTACAAAAAATTCAAATACAGAATCCTTATTGCTCATATCTATTGCGGTAAGTTGGAAGTAGAACACGTCAAATAAATCATATATGTTGCACGTATGTTAGACAAATATAGAAAATCACCACTTCCAATCCCCTTAGGTTAACCTATAATAAGATTATACTACTATACATATTATAGTTTTATTCAAATTAAAAATAATTAATTTTATCAATTTAGATTTTTTCAAGACATCATATTTTGAGCAAAGTACTAGTAAAAAAATGCCTGATGAAGAGTTATCCCTTCCTTTGAAAACATCTTCTAATACTTCAAGGTAAATATTTTAATACTAATAGTTAACAAATTTCCTATCAAACTGACAATTAATTGTTTCTTTTCTTTAGGCTATATTAGTAAAACTGGAACTGAACCTACAATGTCAGTGACTGGTAGGTATTAAATTACTTTAGTAAAACATTGTTGTTTAAAGTTTTTTAATTTTTATTTTTATAGCAAATATTCAGTATTATATTGTATTTTTTGTTTTTAGAATTTCAAAAATATGTAGTGAACACGTTGTCTGTCATGAAATATGATATAAATTGTTTATCATCTACTAATCAACTAATGAATGCTAATATAAATACATTGCTGGAAAATATAAATAAAAATTCAACTATGGTATCAGATGATGGTTTTAATGATTTTGACTTAAATGATATATTCCCAATACAAAGTCATGAAGCTCTACAAGAATTTGAACTAAAACTCCAAAAAAAACGATAATAACTTTAAAACTATTATGGTAATAAGTAATAACACTAAATGAATACATTTTGGTCTTCTACATGAGTTGGGTTCAATAAATAATTATAATAAATTTAACCGTCTTAATTTTCAGGTCCGTAAATTGTCATTGCTCATTACAAATAAAAGTATAGGTGACTCACTGAGGCGTGTAATGTCCAGGATGTTTGATGACAAAGTTCTTGAGTTTTACTCAACTTATGGTTTTAAAAAAAAATTGAGGTTTTCTTCATTGTATTCTTATCGGCTTCTAATTGGTAATTATAATTTGTAACAGTCATATAAAAATGGTTTGCAATTTATGCCTTTTTAATTAAAACTATAAATGTATACAAATATATAGTTATATATAGTATGTCAATAAGTGGAATGTTAAAAAATTTGAATATTTATGTGTATCATTCAATTAGAATATTATATTTCCTTAATATTTACTTGTTTCTTTAAAAATCAAAACCACATTTAAATATATATTAATTTTCTATAAAGATATTAAAGTTGATATAGACATGTTGGAATGTACTATAATATAGTAACTATATATTATTTATATTTAATATATAAACTTTTTATAATACTTATAATATGATATAACTATATATTGTTTATATGAGAATACTTATTTGAAGTGGTCATTTTTATTTTAGATAAATTGAGGACCAATATCAAATACAAAACAATACCGGAAAAAGATGTAGATAATGATATAGGAACGTGGCTAGCTCATGCACGTTTTAGGCGTATTAAAAAAATGAACAAAACTATTTAATCTGTATATTTATATAAAAAAATGAATATTATGTAAAACAAAATGTAATTTTATACTTTTTTAAATTATTTAATAATTAACAAACCTTACCTATACTGACAGGAAGTCAAATTTCACATTTTTAGCAATAATAATAATAATATATTAAGGATATTGAATAAAGCGAACAATAAAGAAATATTTTTTTGTTATATTTATGTATTGTCCTGACATAATTCCTGATCCATCAATGTATTAAATATTTCTTAATAATTTTAAAATAGGTAACAGAAATTCAATATTGGTACCAATTTACCTAAAACTATTAATAGAATTGCTTCATAAAATATATAATATTATCATAACATAATGAAATATTTTAAAGGTATTAATTGATAATATTACTATCATATTTCTTTAAAGTTTGAGTATTTTTATGACAATATAGCAATAATATTTTGGTAATATTAGTTCAATTTTAATATTAAGAAAAAAATATTATAGCAATGTTAACCATCAATATTATGATAACATATTTTTGCTGGCCAAATTATCACGGTATAATGTTATTATAAGATTATACAAATCAAAATAAATCAAAAATTCATTTTTTGGTAACATTGATATTTTTAATTACAATTTGTAGTAATATTATTATAATGCAAAATTTCTGTGTGGGTAGATATCATTATTATATTAATTTTACTGTGATTTTAGTAATAAGGACAATAGACAATTAGGTATTTAATATATTTTTCCTTAAATTTAGACAAAAAATTATTATGAAAACAAAATCAAAAATTTGGTTATATTTTAAGAAACACCCAAATGAAGGGCTTTGTAAAAAATGCGGCGTAAAAAAAAAGTGAAGGCGGTAACACAAGCAATTTAAAATCACATCTGCGTTACAAACATCCAAATTTGTATTCTGAATATTTGAAAATTGATGGGTAAGCACTGAGCTTACATACATAAATACTTAAATATCAATCTTTCATAAAACTAATAATATCTTAAATGTATTATTTGAATCATTTTTAAAGAAATAGTACAATTACTACATCTGAAGAAGCGCAAGAGTACAATATTGATGATCCTGTTTTAAGTAATCTTCAAAGCAATTTGGCGTCGGATAGTCAGGACAGTCAGGCATCAATCTCTAAAGGTATCATTATCTATACATTCAGTTGTAAATTCGTAGCTAGCCAAAATTATTGTTATCTAAGTGTATGTAATAGGTAGGGCTAGGAAGTTGTGCATATCGTTCTAAATTCTACTCTCGATTCATAGCAGATCAAACTAGAAATTCGAGATATAGGTACAAGGATGAGTTTAAAAATGTTTAATTTAAAATTCATATTTTGCATATTCGGTCAATTTTAGGAGAAAAGTGCATTTTTAATATCTTTTAAAAACAATTTAATTTATTTTTTATTTTTATCGTTATAATATTATGTTAAATAATTGTCGTTCATTTGAATTTTAAAATTTTAAGAAATTATTGCACAGTTACCTAATATAAAACATTTATTTTTTTTATTTAGGCATTTTTAAACAAAGTAAACTAAAAGTATATCACCCACTTGATAAAAAAACAATTGAAAAATATAAGCATGCCATTGCCGTTTAGATGTGTGCAGACATGCAACTGTATAATTTGGTAGAAAAAAAAGGATTTACTTTCCGTCCTCTGTCCTAGTTTTGAACCTCCTAGCCGAAAATATTATTCTGACTATAAAATTCCTCAATTATACGGAGACGTAAAAAATTGCATTAAGGAAAAATTAAAAGGTGTATCGTATCTTGCCCTCACAATTGATTTTTGGACATCAGGAAATGGTCATCCATTTATTGGATTAACAGCCCATATTATAAATGAGGAATGGGAATTCGAAAGTTTTTGTTTGGCATGCACTTCTTTGACTATCGACCATAATAGTTTTAATATTAAAAATAGTATCAAGCAAATATTACATGACTGGGATATTGACGAATCTAAGATCGCAGGTATCACCACAGATTGTGGATCAAATATTTTAAAAGCTGTTGAACTAATGTCATTTAACCATGTTCCTTGCTTTGGACATGTTTTAAATACTGGTGTTACAAATGCATTTTCCTTACAACCTGTTAAATATTGTACTGAAAATGCAGTAAAAGTAAGATCTGTTTTCCTCTACAGTTCCAAAATGAAACGTGCATTATTAAATGAACAGACAAATTTAGATCTTCCTCGTCTAGTTCCACCGTCTTCGTCTGACACTCGTTGGTGGTCACTACTTCCATGTTTAATTTTTTTATATACACAGCATGAAGCGTTGAAAAAAATTTATATGCACTAAACACCAACAAATGTTACCCACTTTTAACCAGTTGAAGTTAATTGAACGTATATTACATATAATGGATCCTTTAAAACAGTTGGGTGAAGCTTTAGCATCAGAAACTAAGGTTACCATTTCAGGATTATGGCCAGTATATGAGCAACTAAAATTAAATTTAAATAAAACAGAAAATATAATACATAATTCCATATAAAGCGCTAATTTAGAAACGGATAATGTTCAACTATTTGACAACACTGAAGACATTCATTTTGATAAATATATATTTTGATAATAGAAGAATCTTCTACTTTTTTTTCTCAAATAAATTATGTTACCGAAGAAGATGGTGATACAGATGAAACTTTAAATATAGAACTATCGCAAGCACTCAATCACGTAGAACTCTTAATAACAGATACTATATTTGAAAAATTATCTAAACGCTACTTTGAAAACTTTAAAATAAAACAATTGATACAATTAGCATCGTTTTTAGATCCCAGATATAAAGCGTATTGTTTGAATGATTGTGATTTAAGTATTATAAAACAATTACTAATAGAAGAGTTGAAAAAATCTGGAGATCAATCAGGAGAAATAAATAAAAATAAATCGCTTTCATCGAAAAAAAAACGTTATTCTGGTAAGTTTATAATATTTAAAAAAAATTTTATTTTACACATAACTATAATGAAACATTTTGCACAATTTATAGGCATAGCTTTATTTTTAAGCAAAAATGTACCTTCTGAATCAACATTAAATGACCAAAATATTTTTGAGGCGGAAATCGAAAAATATATTCAAATTCCTAAAGCAGACCTAGATTCAGACTCTCTTGCTTGGTGGAAAATATATAAATCAGAGTTTCCGAATTTATCTTTATTATCAAGAAAATATTTATGTATACAAGGCACTAGCGTACCTTGTGAAAGATTGTTCAGTTATGGAGGTAACGTAATTCTGATAAACGTACATCATTGTCAGCGGAACATGCTGAACAACTAATATTTTTATCAAAAAATTCTCATGTGATAGTTGATAGTTAACTAGTATGATTTTTATTTTTAGTATTTTGGTAAACTTTAATTTAATTATATTAACTTTGTTGTGTAATGTAACACATTTATGTAAAACAAATAGTACTACTATTATTATTTATTATATTACTTTGAATTTGTTAAAATCATCAAAATGACAATTTTTATGATTATGATATAAAACAGTGTATACTTATAAAAAGTATAAACGAGTATACCTTTGTTATTTTATTGTAAAAGGAACACATTTTTAAATATGTATTTTAGTATATACATTACCTATTATAAGTAATATAATTATTTTAACAATTTATCACTCATTACTATGTATAACATTATTCATTATTAGTTATAATAACTGTGATATTATAATATCTTATAATTCTTGTACCTTATTAATAAAGT